CACTTTTTAGACGTTAACATAACAGACTTGCTTTTTAAAAGTAAACTCTAAGCCAAAATTACTTCAGTACTATTTTAAAGAGTTAAAAAGTATATTAAAAGGACACTTCTATTCATTTCACCTATGAGTTTTTGAAACTTTATACTTATTAGTTTTGTTTTGTATTTAAATAAAAGACCTTTAAGTTAAGTGGTTTCTGTGTTAAAGTTCACTACAACAGCTAAAGTTTCGCATTAATGTAGTGCTCTTGGCACTTACATACCTTTTACTAAAACTTTAACATTCTTTTATCATTTTTCCAACTTTAGTTGGTAAAAAAACGTTAACTATTTCTTATACATTGTGACCGAAAAGCTTTCGGAAATTCTCATTTAAAATTCGCGCGCTGTATATTTTCCGATATTTTAAGTTTATGTAGTTTGGCAGCACTGTCCTTAATTACTATGCCAAAAATGAGCGCGATCTGTCAGACAGTTCGTTTACGGCAGCTGTTGAAACCAGTTCACCTCAGTAGGGCGTTGCGAAAAAAACAATGGAAAAAAATATTGAACAAAGAGTTTGCATCAAATTTTGTGTTTCGAACGAAATTTCGTGTGCAGAATCGTTGCGAATGCTACAAAAGGCTTATGGGGAATCAGTTTTATCGAAAACTCAAGTTTATGAGTGGTACAAAGCCTTCCAGGACGGTCGTACGACCGTCGAAGACATTTCGCAACGCACTACTGAGGTGAACTGGTTTCAACAGCTGCCGTAAACGAACTGTCTGACAGATCGAGCTCATTTTTGGCATAGTAATTAAGGACAGTGCTGCCAAACTACATAAACTTAAAATATCGAAAAATATACAGCGCGCGAATTTTAAATGAGAATTTCCGAAAACTTTTCAGTCTTAATGTATATGAAAAATGTTCATACCGTAACTAGCATTTTTTAATTTGGGTCAGCAGCGCAAATAACAAGAGCTCTACGTTATCTGGTATCAGCCTCCGAGCTACAGGTGGCATAAATTTAAAAAATCAACATCAACGTTTAATATTTACAGGAAAAGTATTTCCTCTTCTCTCTTCTCACAGAAGAGTTGTTTCTGTGAGCTATATTTAATTAAATGAATAGAAAAATATTTAAGAACCACTTAAATTGCATTAAAATGAAACTGTTGAGTGATTTGTTGTACTTTCGCAATCCATTCGCAATAATAAAATGTTTTTATAAATTTCGTTAAGAATTATATCTAATACTCAAGTAATGACAATATTTTTATTTTATTTTTTTTTTAATTAAAATAGATCCTCCTGTCTGCAGCTCTGAATCGACCATTATACGCGCTGCACTTAAGCAAACAATAAACATCACTTGTCAAGTGGACGCAAACCCACTTGATAATCTTAATTACAAATGGCATTTCAACAATTCACTCGAAAGCCTAATCGAACTGCCAACAACGGTAGCAACTGCTGTCTCCGCGCAACCATTGCAACATCCGGACACAGGTCGTACATCCGCTGGCGGATATTATCAACGCACCAAGAGGAAACATTCGCATTCACAGAAATTTGTACTCGGACGCCATGGTCGTGTGGCAGCTAGCAGTAACGTAGCAGCTACATGGTCGAATATACATTTCGAAGATGAAGACGAACATCATGATTACGATGGCATGGGTGTTAATAACGACGCTGACGCTAACGCTAACGCTGAGGATGATGATGATGATATTGGTGTTATACGCAGCGAAATGGCTATAAACGATATGGATTATGGTAGCATACCAGAGTTGCCATATACGCAAATGGTTTACTCAAATATGATGCATAAAAATCACCTCGAAGGTAAACAGCAAGTACGCAAACAAACGCAACAACAACAGCAATTGCAGTTGCAGCAACAACAAATACTGCTGCAACATCCAGTTAGTGCACATGATGCAACTCATGGTAATCAATTCCTATTAGCGGAACGTAAACGAATGGCAGCTTTGCATAAGCAACAGCATCATCGCGTTATGGTGACAACCACACCACCAGCTCCACTGAATAATGTATACGTTTATCATATTGAATCATATGACAGTTTCGGTGCAGTGTCATGTGTAGCTAATAGTCCTATGGGTCAGAGCCAGCCTTGCTGGTATCATATACAACCTGCAGGTGAGTTATGCTAGCAAGTAAAAAGTTGTGAAATATGAAAGGCAAATTATGATTTTTGAGTTTGACGATGTGTGGTTTGGGACAAGGACGGTTGGGCTATTTTTATAAAACTATATATAAGTGTTATAATCGCCGTATTGGGCTGTGAAACGAGAAATGCTACTGCTTTTTTTTTTGGACAATAATTAAAATTCTCTCAATAACGAAAAATGTGAAATGAAAATTTTAATTTGAAATTTTTTTAAGCTGAATCTGGCAAAATGGCTTTTTTCTTTTATATAAGATGTGTTATGTTTATTTTTTTTTTTTGTTTTTATTTCATTCTATTAATTTATTTCATGTACCGTGGGTAAAAACTTTATTAATGTCAGTCAAACACGGGCTTACATTGTGACATACCGTACAATATCCTTTTTAACACGTATTTTTATTTAATGTTCAATATCTTTCGAGCTTGGTGGCATTTTTTCTTATGAAAAAAATTGAAATCGCATATGCCAATTAAAATTTATGTGACCAAGTAACTGATTGTGTGGTTGGTTAATTCACGTCACAGGACATATTGTGCTTACAGCACTAACTTTTCTTCTCCTTCAGTGAAGCAACAAAATTTTACGGAACTCCTTCTGGCTTACTAGCGAGTGTATTAAGGTTTCATGTTAAAAGTAAGAAAATCGTTCGTAGAGTAAAATGGCAAAAATGCTGTAAATAATATATTCATCCAACAAGCAAAAATAAAAAAATATATAAAAGTGCAATATCTGAATCCTGCTTAAATTATTTATGATTGTGTATGCGTGTGTGAGGTGAACTCATGCAAGATGCATATATCTCTCAAATCGTCTTTTAATTCTTTATTAAAAAAAGCACTGAAATGCTGTAAAACTTCAGCAAAAATTCCTTCACCCAGAAGAAGTAGCTTTTGTTAAATGTAGTATACTTTTTGGCGTAACGGAAAATCGAAAACGGTTGATAAGTAACTTACTTCCGTTTTATAGTGTTCTGTTTTGGTTGGGCAGAGAACAATTTCATGAAATCAAAATGAAGAGTAAAAGGCTACATATTATTGGCCTTCTTTAATAAAATACAATTTTTAATTTAAAATAAAATGTAGCTTAAATATAGTCGTATTTTTATAGTTATTTATTTAATTGTTGGGAGTTGGCGGTATAATCCTTTTATGTCATTCTTAGCAATTTTTTATAAAGATTAGATGTAAACTTCATATTGTTAAAAAATAATCTGTTGGTGTCTATTTTCGTCATAAAGTAGAATTATGTTATTGTTATAATGCTAGAATATAGATTAGCTAGTATCTTATATTACCATAATTTATAGGGGTTTTGAATAATTTGAATAATTTATAATATAATAAAGAATATTTTATTCTTAGTTGTGGTGGAGAAAAAAACGAGCCCTCCTCAATTAGTTAAAAAAGGCGTTTTAAATTCACAAACCTCTAAATAGTGGTTAGTAGAGAGAAGGTCAAGGTCGAACCAGCCAAAGGCATTTATAAAAGCAAGAATCTGACCAATGCTAATGCTAATGCTAGAGATATCACCGAGTGTGTTGAAGAAGGGGCCCCACAAAAACTTAACCCTAGTTCTGGACGTAGACATATTAGAAGTTCGGTTGTCTTTTATTCGATAGCTGGTACACACGCATTACAGAAGATACCACAGGAGATACCTAGACACCTCTGATTTGCTTCTGTTTATTATGTCAGAGGTTTTACATTTGGAATAGATTGATCATGTAACCCTCGACTTGGTTGCTGAGGCGGTAAGGGTCCACTCACTATTTGCCTGTCGCAAAAATTGGTGATAAATCAACCTACGAAGGTATGCTGACAGGGGCTGGGATTGAAATATGGATATCTGTGGAAGAGGCGCTAAGTCTGGATTTTATGCTTATAGTTACTAGACAATTATTATAAACCTATTAGGTAAGAATACTAAGTTCGCGTTTCTGCTCATAAAAGCCGTTGGTGTAGTATTGCTTTTATTTCGCTATTGCACATCAATATTTTCAATTAGGGACTAATCCAAGATAGACTTAGTTTTCACATAAATGCTGAGGCACATTTACTCAGCACTGAGGCGCATTTACAGTTGTCGCACTGAGCCAATAGGCCGTCTAGAGCGCCAAATGCCTTGCAATCTTTGAACTTTAATTATTGAAATTTACTACAGTTGATTTATTATTGCGTGAAACTCGCCTAAATCTCATTAAATATCAATTGCATGTTAGTTATCTAATAACTAGTTGCTTTATGTTTGTTTTATTTATTGTTTTAATACCTTAAATAATAAAACTCATTCATTAGTCCCTACTAATGACACATTCTTCTTGTACTATTAAATACGCAGCAAAGTCTCTTTAAGTGAGATTGTTTTAAATAAAAGTTTACTCGTTATAAAATATGTACTCTTCTGTTTAACAAAATTTAATATCAGCCATTAGCCATACAAGTTTGGTAATTGACCATTAATTTAATTACTTTTAATGCAAAAGGCCAATATTTTAAAATAAATTTTTTGATATTCGAACTTTGGTTGTTGAGAATATTAAAAAAATTTTAGTTGGAGAATAATTTTAAAAACCCTACAATTCTACATATCTCTGAGCTCGATACCATGCTATGGCAGCCATAAAAACAATGGCCGGCAATTTCATTTATTGCCACTGCAAATTCCCATTGTGCGCCAAACTATGAAAAAACTCACATAAATTTTAAATTGTACAATTTTAATATTTGCCATAAAATAAAATTTTCTAAAAAGTTGTCATTGTCGTGCTTATTTCTGTGTATTTCTGTGTATTTCTGTGTATTTTTGTGAAACAAAACTTTGACACCAAACAACAATTCTGAAATATTTCAACAATTATTTTTGCAACTGAAGACAAAAGTCATTAAATGCTTAAACATGGAAATATGTGTTATGCTAAGTCCTCATAAAAAAACAATAAACAATATATATAAAAATTATAGTAGAAGTAGAAGTGCTCTTCTCAATGTGAATGAAATGCCTGGCATGGCATATAAAAACCAAAATTAAACCGGAAAATATTTCTCCCTTTCTGCGAATGCATGATATGTCAGTGGGAGAAGATGGTAAGATGGTTTTTAGAAAACAATTAAATTCTAAAAATCTGAAAATCTAACAGGAAATGCTAAATCTTTTATATGAAGTAGTGTTTAAAAAATAAATAATAATTGTAAATCAAAAGAAAACAAAAATCAAATAAACCAGATATATACCTATATATAGAATATGAAGTATGAATAAATAAACGAACTCCAAAAAGAAACTGTGCTGCTGCATAGTTAAAAATAGTATAAATCCGGATATAGGAAGTTAGTGTTTGCCATTTTACAATTTTACAAAGGATTTGTACACAAAGTATTAAACTGCACTCATGAATATGTGAGCTCCTATTCGGTGCATATATCAAAGTGGCATTCTGTGAAATGCCAACAAATTTTATGTACAACTGTTCAAAAATTAAAAGCAAAAATAAATGAAATGTCAAAAATTCTAACTGGTTGGCATTGTTTTCCAGATTCACTCGCCTCTGAATCTGGAGTGCTGCACACATGAGCACCAACGTTTTTGTAACTACCATATTCTGTAACAAAACAGTTGCAACAAAAACTGCAACTGATATAGATTAGCATACATTAATACCGAAACATTACAAATCCGTCCGGAACAGGTCCTTAAGCGTTTGTTTATAATTGCACGAAACTATTTGAAATTCTTTAAGTAGCAAATAATAGTAAAAGCTCGCATGATACAAAAACGGCATCAAAAATATTGCATGCTAGAAAATTTATGTTTATGACAGTATGAGTGGCAAATAACTACCAATTTTATATTTCTATATGTGAAATGTATGGGAGAATCGTTTCCTTTTTTGGTTTTGGTCACATACTGGTCGTCTAGTCTACGTATGAATCGAAGCTATTCCTGTAGTACCACAACGGGTCTTTATTTGAGCGCAAGTGAGCTTTCTTAGTGTACAAGGCCGCCACTCCAACATAACCTAACCTATATGTCTAATGTCCGGTGAGAGTTATCTCATTGACTGAAAGCAAATATTGAAAGATTATAAACTCTTTTAGTCAAGCACTGTTGAAAAATTTATTTATTTATTTAATTTATTTATTTTATTTATTTAAAATCCTTGATAAAAAATATTCGGATAAAGTAAAGTCTTTGACTTAAAACTGATGTTGAAAAAGTATACACTATTTTTAGGTTAATTAGGTTTTATTTCACCGTACTTGTTTTTTTTTTGTTGGTATCGAATCTGGAGGAAAAACTTTTCTAAAGATACAAATGGCCCATATCATTCGCATGCCCGATTCATGCACGACTCAACGATGGACTAAAAACTTCAAAAATAAAATAGCACTTCTTTACTTTATTCATTGTCTAAATCAGTAGTTCCCAACCTTTCTTTATATATAATATCTTGGAAATTTTTTTGTTTATTTTTTAATAAGTGAAGTCTCAGTGGACAAATTACAAGCTATGTATCTATTTTAACTATCTCACAGACCACATGTGGTCCGCGAACCACCGCTTGGGAACCACTGATCTAAATAAACTTAACCATTGAATACAAGATTCTCTGATTTTTTTTATAAAATAATTACTTCTTTTACTACTCATAATTTTTTGTACCTCTAATTCAGTTTCTACTTTCCGATTTCTGTTTTCTACCTTTAAACAGCTTACTCTAAAGCTTACGGTTAAATGATTTATTTTAATCTTAAATGTTTAATACTTCTTTCTTTTCTGTCTTCCGCTCCTTGAGTATTCATTCCCTTCTCGTCATCTCTCTTTATACAAATATGTTAGTGTTTAAAGTTCTCCCAGTTATGCCTAACACACGTTTAGACTACAATAAACTATAGTAAAAGTCGTGAGCAATGGGTGATCAAGCTACAATAGATCTCTTTCTGTGGTCCAAATATATGGAACATAGTAACCAGAGATTATAGATTAATTATGCGCAGTATTTCAGAAATGCATTTGTACGACTTACTTAGACTTACTCAGTGTATGATATTGATTTGTATCTTTAAAGTTTTTTTGTTTTTCTTGAACTTTTTTTATATTAATTCTTAATTTTCCGCCATCTTCATAATTTTGTCACTTTTAATCCTATTAACTTCGTCTCTTCTTTTCTCAATTAATTTCTCTTTTATTATTATGATTTGTTTTTCTTTTTCTTTTTTTTCCACTTTAAGTCGTATCTTTAAAGCAATTATGTTCTGCCTCCTGTTTTAACATTTGAATCTCTTATTCTGTTCTACTACCATCCTTTCTAACATTTGCTATATACATTTTCCAAAGAAAGTTTGAAATAAATTCCATTATTTCAAAAAAGCAAAATGGAATTTAAAACAATCAAAGTTTTAATTCACAATTTTAGATACGAATAATTTTCCATAAAATGTTATGTGTATTTACCTTCAATAATTCAATAATTTTAGCGGCTTCCATGTAATTTCCAAAGAATTCCTTTTTGAACTTTATGAATTTGAAATTCTCCTATTTAGGTTCCTCAATGTTTATTAGTCTACAGAGCATATCCCACCTGAATAAACAATCAATTAACATAAAAAGGAAATCAAATCAATTTTACTGTTGCTGCAAACACAAAATCTCATGTGAATAACTTTTCAATTAAATTACAAATTCCGGCAGTGTAACTTTGCACAAATAGAAGCCCAAATATCATTAAAATACCGTACCGACAGACACACATGGGGGAAGAAGGAGCACACATCCGAGTACAAAACGAATCCGTGAGATATTAGTTTGTGAATGGAAACTGAATTGAAACATGACTGGAGTAATTGAAATGTGAAACTTCAGTGCCTCTGAATTTAGACCACAAAACAATATTTGATATATTCTGATTTAATATTAATGACTTGACATAAGGAACATAATGAACATAATGTTTCTAATTAACAAAAAGAAAAAAAAAATTGTTTTAAATGAAAGTTAATTATTGAATATCTAACTGGGATATCTTATTTTGCAGATCTTCCGGATCCTGTTAAAAACTGCACTTCCTATAACGCCACCGCAAATTCATTACAAGTGCAATGCATACCAGGAAGCGATGGCGGCATACCACAACATTTCCATGTGCAAGTCTATGACGAACTGAACAGACAAATACTCTACAACACATCCTTCAAATATTCCGATTTCACCGTGAAAAGACTGCCAAGCGATTCGGTGTTTGTTATCAGAATAACAGCAGTTAACGCACAAGGACCCAGCAAAGTGGCATATCGTTTAAGAGGACGCACACTCTCTGCGCCTCTGCTGCGCACAGGTAATTATTTAAAATTTGGAAGCAAAATATGGCATAATCTTCTGTCAATAAATTTATTCGTTTTGTTTTTGTAAGTTGGAAAATGACGTGCAATTTTCTATTTTCTAGCTTCCTCTACGGCTGTGCTGGTCCAACTAACTCCATTGCTGGGCGCTCTGGTCGGAGTTATTGCAACTTTGGTGCTCGTAGCTATTTGCATTGTGATTTTTGTTAAATTTCGCACAAAACGTACGCGTCGTCCCAACGGTGATGCGACCTCGACCGAGGCGGACAAAGGCAGCGCTGAGCCATTATCACGCAATATGGGCAGCCACTCCAGCTTAGAGGATAAAAATCCCGATGTGGTGCCACAAGAAACAAACAGTGAGGATGAATTTCATATGGAAGAGAAAGCATTCGATCGCCTCAACATGGAATCGCAACGGATTTTGTATACTCCACCATCGCGCATGAATACAGCATCGCCAACTTTGCCGCCGCTATCACCCACTTTTGGCAAGCAGGTAAGTTTCTATTGAGAATGACATAAATGACATGATTTTAATTTTGCGTTGTCGTTCATGGTGCAGAATAGCAAATAATGTTAATTTATTCCAATATGGAAACTCCATTCCAGCTATGTTTTAAACTATATTTATTTAAGTTGCTAAAAGTTTTCGCCTGCAGATGCAGATGTGTTTTATGTTAAAGTTCTGCTAATTAAGCTTCAAATTAATATTTCCAGTGAACTTAAATAAACGATTTTTTGATCGTTTTTTATTTAGAAATTCATTTGATTTTATTCACATGATTTTGATATAAAGTTATTAATATTAATTGTTTCAAAAATTTTGTAATAATCGATATTTTATTATAAAACATGAAATATTTTATTAGGTACAATTGGTTCCTAATAGTTTTATACATAGAAGAGTATTGTTAAAATAATAATGTAATGCAAAACCAGTTGCAAGTGCAAGTATTCTCAATGTCTGCTGGCCGGAAAGAATATCGCACACCGAATTATGGGGGAGACCCAAGTAACCACAAGTTACAACGAAGGTAAATGGTCCTGGATCGAACACACACTTCGACGACCGTCTAATAATATAGCAAGGCAGGCACTGCGATGGAACTCACAGGGTACTCGGTGACATGGTGCACCAGCAAAAACATCGCAGAGAAAAATTGAAAAAGAATTCAAAGATGCTGGATTTATTTGGAATAATGTCACCAGAAAAGCTCTTAATAGAGTACGATTTCAATCGGTGGTCAAGGTCCTATGCTCACGAAAGAGTTAATTAAATCAGTAGCAGTAGTAATAAAATAATACATAGACATGGACCATAGACATTTAATTAACATGTCGACAGCGATCAAAGCCATCAAAGTTGTGTATGGCTTGGCATTGACTTAATGGAACACACTCCTTTTGTGTTGACCATTCTTAGTCGCTTTCCCTTGATTAACCGAATTAACTTTTGCACCAAGTTGGAGCGGCTCGAAATAGCGATTCCATTCTTATCTGACCAAACACTCAACACAGCCATGTTTCCTGTAATCCAACAAACTTTGGATATTCTCGTATTTGATCTATTTCACGTCATCTGTATGATTCGCTTGAGAAAAGCTTGAATTTGTTGAATTGAGGTGCTGTTAGATGAAAGATACCAATACCATTTCAAAAGGACTACCGTAGATGTGAAATTGGTAATACTCAAAGCAGCCGTGTGGTCAGCTAAAAATATAATTAATTAAAATAAAATTTTACTATTTTGATTCAATACTAATCATAAACCTTTCTGATAGAGAGTTTATGTAATTCTATGCAACACAGCTATCATAAGTGACTGAGTCCACATCACGAAACCATTTATCAAGTTCCGTACACTGTTCTGTTTAGAGTTTTGTTAGTCCAAGAATTAATGTCATCGTGAGCATAACTGTCGCAGGGGTAAGATATTATTTGACGCAGGATAAACACTTCTTGGAGACTATTTACCGAACTTCTGAGACGTAATACACGCCCTTTGCGATTTTTGGCAACTGCGAAGAATCGAGATCCACATGGACTATAGCAATAACTGAGATATGCTCTGCATATATGTAAATCATCAAAGTTATTAATGGTTCGTGTAAAAAAAACTCCAGCTAAATACTTTCTTTATATATGCAATCCAAAAACACTGTAAATATAGGAATACTGCACTAAAAATATAATAACTAAATAAAGAGGATATTTTAGGCTAATAAAAAGGGTATTCATACTTATATGATTAAATAGTTCTTAAAAATCTTTGTTAATAAAACTGAAAACATTGCGGATTTATTGGTTCTATTTAATGACTGGCCAAATATTTCTTACCCCAAATATTTTCACAAATTGTTTGTTACCCACTGAACTGCAATTATTAACGCAATTTGCAGCATTCTTACAAAATTAAATAACTCAACACATTTCTACTACTAACTACCGATTACTCCACCCCGCACACATTCCGTCATCCCTTTCCAGAAGATACGAGTAGCACTGATGTAACTCAATCAATTTGATACACTGCAAATGCATGTAATGGCAACCAAGTAACTGAGCATATCTCCTTTATGTATTGTTTTCCAACTTCAACGGATGTTTGTGAGTCTGTAATCATCGTTAATAGATGGAACACTTTATTTCACATCATATTCCCTTCAAAGATAATATACTATTTCGGCTGGTGGTGGAAGGAAGTTGCCACTTGTTAAAATATCACCACAAAAAGTAAGGCACCCTTGGGCAAAGTTTGAGCTACAACTACTTTACTTATTGCTTGGCAAAACAGCAACCAAAAAAGGGAGCCTGCAACCCTTCGAAAGGATCTAAACAAGGAAAGTGATATGTTTACTTGATTATCTTACAACGTAATGAGTTCAGAGCTATTTGCTGTATGACAAAAAATAAAATGGAAGAAATGGATGGAATGGATGAAATGGAAGAAAAAACTAGAAATGAACAAGTCGCTTTCATTTATTATCTTTCGCAACTACGGAAAAGTGAAGACGGGAATTAGTTTTGTAGCTACAAACAGTTATCATATATATGTATGGTATGTATGTACTTTTCTGGCGTCAATTTGTTGACAGCTTTATATTATATCATTATCTCTTGAGTTTCATCATGTGAATATCATTGAAATTATGTTTAATTTGTTTATCCTTGTTGTGATGAAAAAAAGAGTTTGAATGAATGCAATGGTTTCATTTATTACACTTGCTCTCTCTCATTATTTCCACTTCCATTTTCCTTTTAGAAAAACCATAAATGTATTTAAATGATTAAATGAATATTAAATAAAAGTTTTTTAATGTGTTTATCTTTAACACCCAAGATTCCACCTAAATAAATGACTTTAAACACAGCTTCCTTTACTGCTTGCACAAGTAGCATATGTAAATTCATATCCGCGCCATTATCCTTATAACTTAATATAGGACGTGACAGCGATATTTATGATATAACAGCAATGAATATCGATCCAAATGACAATATGTCACCTAAAAAGTTGTTTGCCTTGTTTGTTGGTTAATGTTTCTGCGGTAAGGGGCGAAGAGGGTCGAAGAAAAGATGAACGCATGTACGACGAGTGTGGCAATGAGTATGACAATTCTTTTAACCTCCCCCAACCTTCGTTTGCAACCTGCGAAGTTTGAGCGAAAAACTTTGTCATTCAGAAAACATTTGTTACTGAACTTATCATTGTCACTTTCTTATTTGTACATATCCTTATCGATTGCCTCAACGCTAACAAATTTTTGTAAATTGACGTGCCATATTTCAATACCTGCAAGTACACGAATATTGTGGGTGCTTAGAAGTGTGACACTAAAAGATACAAAAAATCATAATCATAAGAAGAAAAAAACCAAAAATGTGCACCTTCTGCCAAACAAAGTGGCAAAGATGCTGCGACTGTAATAGTAACCCAGCATATCACGCAGATAGTCTTTTTACTGTGACACAAATGCTCTATGTTGGGTATGAACAACTAAAAATATATTATATAGTACTAAACTAGAAAAGATCATATGATAAGATATATCAAGACTTATTACGAATGCCTTATTCCACTAAAAATTCTAAATCAAAATTTCAATTTGTCGTTTTGGAAAAAAATATCAGAAATCACAGTGGAAAAAAATATTCAAAATGTTTATTCTTTCATTTTAAAAACAACAAAATTTGGAAAAAAAAATTATTGCTTAAAATTTGAGTAATTATCTTCTTTTTATAAAAAAAATGAGGACATACGCATTCCCAACCACTGAGATAACAGATTTTAGTACATTTCAATATTTTTAGTAATTTTTTCAAAAATACTATATTTCAATATAACTTGGATCCTATGATACTTGCTTTGACTTTTTATATATTGTTTACTTCAACCAAAGTGTAAACGCCATCTAGCGACAACTGGTATAAACAATTTTAAAATTGATTATACAAACAAAGACTAACTGTGGTCCTATGAGCCACGATTTTTATTTAATTTATAAATAAAACAAAATAAAATACTTGTGTATATTGCGTTTATCTACTAAAATCGGCGCCTTTATTTGTGTATTTCTTTGCACTCAATCTTTATAATTTTTATCGCATTTGGCACTTCATTCGTTCTTTAGTGCTGCAACATAACATATCGTCTGATATCGCAATTACTTATCGATATATCTTCATTTAACATAATGAAAATATGGCGCAGTATATATATAAAGAAATAAATCAAATCCGTTGTCAAATCATATCTGCTTCGAAATCGGACCGCTGTTAAAGAACTATTGGTGATCTAAGTTTTAGTGATCTTAATAGTTAATGCTCATAGGAATTAAAAAAGAATTAAAATTATACTTTATCGTTACAATTATATACAATGTATAACTCTAATAGAGAGAAAATCTGTTAAAAAACGTAAATGAAAAAAAATTCTTCTACGATTGAAACTGTAGTAAAGTGAATGCTAACAAAAGAAATCTTTCTTTAGCTCTTTTTCCGTACTAAGTATATATTTAGCTTTATTTTTCTTGTATTCATTAATAATCTTATCAAGTAGATTGCTGATCTGGTTGGAAAAGATAACATGATATTTCTATCATGTAATCCATTTAACAATAAAGTTGGATGCATAAATGATCTTTGTACACTCATAAGCTCTACGTGAGACTTACACACTTTTAAGCAAAAACTTATGAAGAAATGCTGCCTTGATTCTTCCTTAAGTGGTTCTTTATTCATGAAATTATTCAAAAAATTATTTAAAATTATTTAAATATATATAATATAATGTATATTTAATGATAAGGACATGTTTGTGGAGCAAAGAAGTTAACTTATTATTAAAGAACCTATATATTACGATATTTCTAAGATCTATTTACTACAGTGATCTCGTTATCAATTCTGTGTTAAATTATACTTAAGCTCATTTGTTCAGGTACACTACATATACATAACAATGGGTGTACTGTATTCATTCTTAGCCTAATACTGAAAATCCTTCGTCACTAGTTAAGCTAAGTACTGAAATACTTCCACCAAATTTAGTTGGGGAGTTGTGTTTCTTAAGCCTGTTAGCCTGTGAAAATAGATTGCTTTAATAAATTAATGCTTAATTCACAAAAAGTGATTATGTTTGATAGAAATGAATATCTTTAGGGATTACTTTATTTACTGCAGTTATCCTTCGCCCGGAATTATTTTGAGACATGTAGTTAATATATATATTGCTTTATCTGATTTATGTTATATTTTTATTTCCCTTTAATAAACGTGTCACTGCCTTCAATATTTCCCATGTATTTTTTGATGTTGTTACTATTATTTTCTTTTCACTGTTGTTCTAAAAGATATCTTGACCGAATGTAGCGTATGCATATACGAAAAAAAAAACTTTCCGGAATGTGTGGCAAAAAGATAATAAAATAAAAATAAAAGGAACATTTTTTTTGTTTGTCATGTAAGGAAATAAGTTAAATATCCTGGAATGTGTGCAATAAATTTATCGAAACAAAGAAAAACTATCAAACTGAACTAATAAAAATGTCACCATGAATTTCAATTTGAAATAAGTGGAAGAGGTTGAGCAGTGGAAAAGGTTTCATATACAAATATAATAGGAAAATGATGAGTTTAGAGGATGTGATAATACATAAAGGTTTTCAGTTTTTCAAATTATAAAAATGGCAGTTTGACAGTTTAAATTTAAACTTGAAATATGAATTACACTGCAATTTCAGTTTATGGTTCTTTAATATAAACATTGTTAAAGTTTATTAATTGTATTTTATATTTAATAAGTATAATTAATTAATTCATGTCTGAAAGTGTATTTTATTGAAGCTACTATTTACTTCCTTTTCTTTATTTTTCTTTACAGTACGGTGAACTTTCCTTGACCACAAATCCCGCCTACAGTTTATACAATACACCACAACGTGCACCAGCAACACAACGTCCATTATACACAGCCCCACCGCCTCTATTATCCACACGTACACCACCTAATATATATACTCGCATACCAGGACGCACCTATTTACCAGCTTATGAGACACGCACATCTCCGACTTCACCTTACGGTTCCACTACAACCTGTACAATACCTTTACTTGGCGGACAATCGAGCGGTTCATTGCAAACAAACAGCAGTAGCGGTGTGGGCAGTGGTCTGGGCATAGTTAGCGGTTGCAATACGCTGCCACATCCAGGCTCACAAAATAATGCCATATCGGCCGCTCTAACATCATCGGTAACATCTGGTAATATAACCATTGGCGCAGCACAATCACTACTCACTTCACCACGCACTCAGTCGGCTTATGGCAGCGCAACTGTACAGTCGCCATTGCTGGCTACAAGCGCTTTACTTGGCAATGGGAACTATGAAACGGTGTCCTCCTGAGAATTACCGAAAGATGACATTAAATGTCAGATTGTCTGCATCGGTGGAAGTAGTACGTGCACCAGCAATGCCGAGCGTACCACCATTGTTTAGTGGGTGTACCAACGCCTAACATTGTGTTTAGTATTTGTGCGTATCCTTCCACTTGGTTCGTATGCAAAATTCTATGTAATATATTTGTAGCTAGTTAAGTGATTATACGTATAAGATAAAGATACCTGTATCTATGTATCTACATTCAAAGAGTTATTACACATTCTAGTTAGTATGTATGAAGTATTTAATTTGAATCTTTGTATTATTTTGAGTTAATTTAATTTTAATTAATTTTATATGATTTATTAAATTAAGTTTTGATGTGCACATTGAGTTTGTGTGTGCGTTCGATCATATTATGTATTTATCTTAAACGATTTATGTTCATCGAAATCACAATAAATTATCTACACTAAGTTTGACATGCAAAATGTTGAAGAAAATAATTAATTTTTTGTACCTTCGAATTATTACCAAAAGATGTACAAAGTCTGATTAAATTAGCAAGAAATAATAGAAATTGACTGTATCTGAAGCTGATAATCTTTTTACCTCTAGGGCAACGTACATTAAAATGTTGATTATACTTTGAGTAATTTGGAGAAGATACTTTTTATATAGGTTCTGATATTTTCTTATAGATTTCTTATAGTTAAACGAACAAATTAGACAAGACTTCCAAGTATTCGGTGAAAAATTTTCCTTTATTTCAAGAGATGATAAGCATAAAGTAGTACTACAAATGATAAAAATGTAAGTGTTCCACAAAATTCAACTACAAAAACAAAGCATTTATATTAAATAATGTACATAATTACTTATATATATTGTATAACAAATTTACATACTTATGTATTATAAAAATATTAGATTCAATTATTAAATGTTGCATCTAAAGAACTGGGGCAAAATACTTGTAATTCTCACATACTATATATATTCCTGACATATGCGTAAGTGAGACGAATATACTTAAATAGATATATTTATTGGGCAAAACAATAATCAATCAAATGCCCGAATTTTTGTTAATCTATCTATCTACACTGCTTTTCTACTGAAAATCTCAATCAAAAATGGTCCAAAATATTGACCTTTAGGTTTCGGTTAGTAAAAAACATTTGTCCTTACTCTCGGCTAACATCAGTGTGTCCTTGAACTATTAAGCTTATTTTTTTTTTCAACCGACTTATTTTTTTTATCCTTTTTTGCTTCCTATCGAATTATTTTTTGCTCTCTAAGACAAAAATTTTCTGTGGTTACAAATGAAAGAAAACACATGAGCTATGCTTAAAAGAAAATATATTAAGAGAATATATAAATGAAAGAAATCATGAATAAATAAATAAATTAATATAAATGTAGATCTAAAATATATTAAGTAAAGTTATAAAATGTTTTAGTTTGTAAGCACATACAGAGATAGAAAACATATTGACAGATTGTACATAATAGTTAAGTATATAAAGTATATATATATATATATATGTATATATAAGAAGATGAATTAATTACATTACGTATTATATATTAAAATATTAAAAATAAATTTACGAGTATATTAATGTTTAATTTAAAATAGTTAGCTCTATTGAATAATACAAAAAAGACTAATTTTATTCTTAAATCATTAAACTATTGAACAAATCGAAAAATGATATGCCATAATGCAAAAAATATTTAAAAAAAAAACTATATACATAAAGTAAGAGTGTATGGTATGAAAGTTATATATATTTATCTGAACTATGATAAAATAATATATAAAATATGTAACTGGAGAGGCTTAAGGTTATCTTATTACAAATTTGATCGATATTTATTTGCTGCTTTCGATTCGTCAAATCCATTATTATTATTGTTAAGGGATGTGGTACTGCGATCGTCGGGTCATTCCGCCTCCTTCAGGGTTTGGAATAGGTCTTTAAACTCTGTTGCGTCAATAAAAAGTAGTATAGAACCTACTTTGCAGAGTTTTATTGCCTCTCCCATAAGAATATACATTCCTAGGAGCCTATTCCATATGTTTATTGGCGCAGGGCATTCTAACAGTACATGTGTGACCGACTCCTCATTCTCTTCATAGGATCTACAGTGTGAGTCCCTATAAAACTGCATATTTTTGGTTAGATTTCATCTTTGTCTTCAAAAGTTGGAGTTTTTTGATACAACCATTATTTTTTTTAAAGTTCAAAATTGAACCGTCTTTTATTTCGTCTAAAGATTTATTTAACAAGTTTTTTATAAAGAAAAATTGGCGACCTTATTTCGGTTGAAGAGCTAAGTCAATATAATATCGAGCCTTTATATTTAGCCATAATAACTTTGTATTGGTTCATGGTCGTATGTAGTTATATGTACACCTAGGCGTGATAAAATTCTTATAGTCCATGTATAGTTGGCAAATCAAACGCAGTAATTATTTTTAATAATTAATACACCATTAATTAAGTGAAAAGTACTATCCATCATTTTGTTTCTCTGTTGAACAAAGAAATTTTTTTTTCCTCTTTTCTTCATTTCTTTTTCAACATGAAATTGAAAACAGCAAATATTTATAAAAAGACTCCTTATATAAAAAAGAAATATATATTACTTCCTTTACCTTTTAACTTGGAACTTCTAAGTATGGAACTTATACCTTTATTTGCTTATGGAAAATTTTAAATATATATATATATATTTTCTGTAGGTGTAAGGCATTAAAAGCCATTGTGTGAGACTTCAATCCGCTAAAACCACCTCTTAGGAATGAATGGAGATTATTTCCACAGCAAAGTGGAAACTTCATTCCAGGGAAGTAATCAGGAAAGAGAGATATTTGAGCGAGTGGACTCAATACCTAGCTGATAAGGTTTATTTAAACCATAAAGCATGGTTGTAGTGCAGATAGAATGGGTGTAGTGGAAACAGTATTACGAAACTGAAATACAAACAGCAACAAATCATGCTTGTACCAGTTGGCAGTAAGAAATATCTGACTACAATAAGCTACATATTAGCTAAAAACGAAAGTTCATACTTTTTAATCATTTTAAAAAAAACTTAACCATTAAATAATGATATATTCAAATATATATTTTACTTCACTTCTAATATGTGGGTAAAAACGTTTTATTATAGATTCAAACTCATTGTAAGTTCAAGAATCATACATTATTAAAACTTTGTTATCCTACGACAATTCCTATGACAATAATCCCTTATTCTATTCTATTTCGAATAGAAATTGGGATAATTGTTGAAAAATTTTAAAATTCCAAAAATCTTTTTTGATCAAGTGAATTCTTGCACTATTATAAGTGGTCCTTGAAACGACCACCTATTTGTCCGAAATTAATTTCAGATAACATATTAAAAATATGGGGTTGTAAATTTCAATAAAAGAATTTTATAATTCTAAAATTATTTAATTTTTAATTTTTTAATTAATTTTCAATAAATACATATTACATAAAGTACATATTTAATTTTTATAAATGTTAATTGAGTAACTTTAATCTACTCCACTGCATAATGTAAATATCTGAAGAAAAAGTTATTAAAATTTAAAGAAAAATGTAAAATTAGTGTAAGAAAAATGTTAATAATAAATTCATAATGTATAGCACAAATCATGCATAAATAATTTAATTAGAAAAGAAAACAATGTTTCAATGTTTCTTGAGAGTCAAACTAAGAGAAAATATTCCCGGAAGGACTATTAAAAAGCATAGATAATTTAAATTTGTTAAGAGTTTCTCATGTCCAAATGCAAAAACTTAGAGAATAAATTTTCTGCAGTCAGAATTAAAACAATAAAAAATAATTAAGTGCTTTTCTTATGACAAAATCAAATAATTTCAATGAAAAAACTACATATAAAATATTTAAAAATTTAAATATATTAAAAGTACATATATACCAAAAATAATACATATGCATGTATGTATATGTATGGAAGATAAATTATGTGTGTATGTGTAATGTATAAACTTTCAAGCGAATTTAACTAATAAAATTAAAAAAAAAAATCAAATAAAAATGTTTTTCGGTTCTGGTTTCATGCGAATTCTTCGACTTTTGGTCCTATGCTTTTGAGGTTTTTTTTCTTTTAATGTAAATATTTTCATAAAATTTATTTTTAGACAAAAATTATTTTAATCATTTTTTAATTACTTATGTACATGTGAGTATGTAAAAGTTCTTGTTTTAGTTAAATTGACTAATTGAAAACTTTTTTACTTACAAAATAATATTAAATTAATATATATTAAGAATAATGGATTGCAAAGATTAAATAAATGTATTGAGAAATATTAAAATGAAAATTAACAAAAATAATTGAGTTTTTATTTTTAAAAATAATTAATGAGGACATTAATATTAAAGTCTTGAACACACAATTAAACGTGTTCGTACTAGAGGGATTTTTTTAAAATTTAGATGAAATAATGGTTGTAGCACAATGAAATCCATTATCTTTGCATAAAACTGAAGGTTTATTTAGCATACCATAATTTAGAATGATCAAATCTAGGTCAAATATATGCCATTTTGTTTGTTACCCGTTAACATTTTGAAAGTAAGTTCATTACCTCTATGCCTCTGTCATAGAAGTCCTCGTCCCTATGGGCAAACAATTTGAGACAGGTGATTTCCACAAGCCTCTCTTGAGGTTCTCTTCTGTTTCACCAGAAAAATCGTTTGTTATGGAAAGGCACAAATGGTAATCACTTGATGCTATACTCTCGGAGTTTTTGGCGAGTTATTATTGATGTGATTGGCCTGCCGTTGTCCTGATGATACACAATTCCAACTGCCATCTGAAGAGTCTTGCCATGTGGGAACAGCTCAGAAGATTCCCTGTCAATCCTACCAAACGCAAAGCAATTCCTTCCTGGTCGTCAATCCTAGCTGGGCTACCCATTCAACAGGCTCATCGCGGTTCTACCACAACTGCTTCCGTTAAACATTGTTGTAAG